GATGAGGGCAATGAATGTACAAATGCGCTTTACACAATTGATGTATGTATGGATTGTGATAAGAGTTGTATGAGCCCCTAATAAAATGATTAAAAAAAAAAAAAAAGAGTGGACACCCAGAGGGGGTGTCCCTACAGGGTCGCTGTGAGTCAGAATGACTCAATGGCAGGGATTTGGTTTGGGGGTTACCACTGCTTATTGGATCTTCCTTCCGGTTAAGATTGTCGATTTGAAAAGAGGCTTTGATTCTGTAGGAAGGGGCTGTCGGATTGGGAGAGAGAGAGAAGTCAACCCGCCCTCTCTTCCCGATCTCTCACTGCCATCGAGTCAGTGCGGACTCACAGCGACTCCTTTGTGGGGCGTCTGAGACTAGAACTGGTTGTGGGACTAGAAAGCCCAGTCCTTCTCCTGTTGGTGATTTTAAACTGCCAACCATGTGGGTCGCAGTCCAATGGGTAAGGCCTACCCCACCAGCATCTCTGGTGTGGTGGAAAATGTGAAACTGCTCACAACAGATTGGTCAGTAAGCACAAGCCAGCCTGTGCTCACCTGGTTTGTCGGGTAATGGGACATAGGCGACATGTGCTTATGAATAAAACCTTGTCCTGAACCATGCCCGTCCCTGTCTCTCTCTCGCCCCATGTTCTTGCCAGTTCCTCCTCGCCGAACTGGAGATCGGCCCCGACCTGGAGCTGGCCCTCAAGGACGAGGAGCTGCTCTCCCTGCGGAAGGCCGCCAACTTCCGGGCCATCTGCAATGGCATCATCCCCAAGCGCATCCCCGACATCCGCCGGCTGGGCGCCAGCCTCTCCAGCTGCCCTGGTGTCCTCAGGAAGGAAGACTTTGAGAGGACGGTCCTGACCATGGCCTACGTAGCCTACCGCGCGGCCCTGGCCCACGGGCACCAGAAGGACGTCTGGGCCCAGGCCCTGCTCAGCCTCTTCCAGGCCTTGAGGCATGACCTGATGCGGTCCTCAGGCCCCAGGGGGTCCCTCTGAGGGACCAGCTCCTACAGGGCTGTGGAGCAGGGACACACACACACACACACACACACACACACAACCACCAGAAACTCCTTCATCTTCGGCTCCACTACAGAGAATAGCAACAAACAGCTGGAGCACTTGAACCCAAACTCCTCCATCCCTAGAAGCTTCCTGATAAACACTGAGATCCGACTCGTGTCCTCAGGTGACCTCAAGAGATGGTGTGGTTCAGCTCGTGCCATGCAGAAATCTAAGATCTGCTCAACCCAGAGTCATGGCCACAGCCCCCCAGAGTGAGGAGAGATTTGGGGAAGCCTAGGTGATGGGGCAGATTGATTTCTGTCTAGGGGATCTAGGTATGGGGTGGGGTGGGGTGGGGTGGGGAGGTGGTCATTTTTTCCAGTTTCCAGTAGTTGGCGTAACAAAATGAGGGCTGTGCCCAAGACACATAAAGTTAGCCGAGGCTAGAACTTCCCAACTCCTGCAAGAGCCTTTTGTGGTGGGTTCATGCTGCCCTGTGCTGAGCAGCCCACCCCTCCCTGCTGTTATTTATTCACTTACCCTGGCCTTTGGAACAGAGAAACCAAGCTATGGCAGAGATGGTCACCCTCATGGGAGGGGAGGCCCCACCACCCATGCCTCCTGTCCTTAGGCTGGAACTCCGTTGCACCGCCAAAGAACCGGGCCCTTCTAATAGACATGATTTCCAGAAGCCGGAATTCTGCCCCCTTCAACTGCCACCACCCCTTTTTTTATCCGTCTGAACTTGATGGCTTCATTAAACCACATCTATGCAGCCCCCTCAATGCTCGTGGCGTGCTTAAAGATCTCAGCTACCGTCTGGCACGTGCTGCTGAAAGCACGGGACGGGATCATCGCTGAGATTTCTGCAGTCATTTAGGCAACTGAGAGGTCTGACCGTGAGAGCGAGCGGCTCCAGGTGAGCTCTTCCCGGCCTGTCCACACCAACTCAGAAAGGTCTCGACCCACGGCAGCACCAGAGGGCCCAGAGAGGAGAACCGGGCACCGTCCTTTCCAATCATATTTAGTTCGTTATTTCATTCTTGCTGTGCTCATTGAGAACATTCCCCGCAGAACACCAAGTCTGTGGTTTCCGCAGGTAGAACTCAGTGACATCGATCGCGTTTCTTAGAGCGTTCTAACCACCTTCTCTCACCTTTTCTGAGTTGCTCCTCCCCCATGAACATAAACCCAACTGCAAATACACCCACCCCGCCATCCACCCACCTAAGGTTTCTAACTACTCTTCCCAGTTGCGGTTGTCAATTAGAGTTTCGGTTGATGGGTCTCAAGGCCAACATTCTTGACGTTAGTTCTTTACAGGAGTAGGCAGCCTCATCTTTCTCCCGGAGAGTGGCGGGTGGATTTGAACCACTGACCTTGAGTTTAGCAGCTCAGGGCTCTCCTTCAGTACTGATGTTGAAAACTCACCTGGGCGTCTTGGATATTTTTGAGCATGTGAGGTTTGCCCACTGGCCCTAGCTGCTTGGTCTTCTTAGAGAAACACAGGGATGACGGAAGAAAGTCTTCATCATCTGAGGGAAGGGCAGCCTTGATGTTCTCAGGCCCAGAAGTCTCCTCACTATTGGTCTCTGCTCCTCCGGACCCTGACCCTCCCCACTCCCCCTCCTTCCCCGGTAAACCGCCTCTACTACTTCTTAACGTCAAGCTCTCATCTCTCCGTTTGGTTCCAATCTCCTGTGGCTACTCTGCTCCTCCCTTCTGACTTTAGCTGGTGTCTTCCCAGTTCTGACTTTGAGCCTCATTCTGACTGGCTTCCAGTTACCGTGTGAGCTCCCCCCCCCCGCCCCCCCATCTCTGCTCGCCTCCCCAATCACTAGAAAAGAGCACCATGTTTGGTACCGGGTCCATGAAAACAAGGGAAACCTCACTAAGATGGACCGGCACCCTCGCCATCCCAACGGGCGCTAGCAGGCCCGTGAGCAGCACCTGAAGTTGTTCTCTCGGCTTGGGGTGTCGTGGTCAGGGAAAAGCCCAGGTTCACGCGTAAGATGGGAGTTGGCCGGCGGCCATCAGGCTGACAATCTGCCTTCACCACTGGCATGCTTCCTGGACAAGGGCATGGGGCAGATGGTCAGCAGTGACCTCTATTCCTGGGCCCCCTGCAAGGTCCCAAGAAACATACTTGATTTCTCTGTTCAGAAGGCAAGGAGGGGCTGTTTGTCCTGTGTGCCTTCCAAAAGGCCCCTTCACATGGCCCCTCTTGGTTAGACCAGCCTTCTAGAAAGAAAAACATATATAGGTCATAAGATTAGAATATTCTTGACACTCCCCCTTCCCCCGACTCCTCTCCCCCACCAGAATGAACCCATGAGCTCTCTCCTAGGCAGAATCACCAAGTGGACAGCCTTATAGCTGTAGCCTGACCCCCCAATGTTATGGGTACACGGTTGTTCCAGAGTAGGAGATGTGAAAGGCCCCCAGAACAGGGAGAGCATCCGTAGCTCATTCACCCCTGAAATTAAAAGTACTTTGTGTTCATGAAGGGGAGCCTGAATGTACGCTGCGATCAAAGAGCTGGAAAAACGAAAGCCACTTCCATTTCAGAGACAAACGGAAGCTTGTTATTTTCTCGAACTAAGAGATTTCATTGGGTTTCTTCCGAATTCAACTCTCTACCCATGAGAAATTTTAGAACCATGACTTCATTTACACGCAAATTTAACTAATAAGCCTCCTCACGAGTCCTCCTCTTTGACCAGCCGACAGAAACCAACCAGACTCTCAAACCCCCTGCCCTCATGGGCACTCACAGTGCACAATCACAACCTCCCCACATTGAGGGGTCACACTTACTCACAGACAGATGAGAGTGGGGGGGTCAGAGACCTATCTCTGTCTGTGACTTATGCAACCATTTCTACCATGTCTAGACTGCTGGGGAATTCGAGAATTGAGACATTCTGGAAGCTTCCTCTACTCTTAGCATCCACATGACCATCCCCGAGGTTACTCAAGATGTATTGACAAGCACCTGTGTGCAGGGGCTTCCGGGGCTCCGTCTTCTCCACGGGGCTCTAGTTGAAAAGGGGGTCTCGTCTCGGGGACTCAGTGAGGAGACGCGTCCCAGAGAAGACACATGTTAAGGACACTCTTCTTCTCGGGACGGGTTTCCAGCACTTCCGCATTCGTGTGGACTCAGCTGCTTGCATCTGAAAGGTGGAAAGAGCCCTGAAGGAGAACTGCTGACCTTAGGATGGGGCTCCCCTAGTTCTCGTGCGGTGCCGTCGGGCGGGTCCGGCACATAGCGGCCCTCTGCACAACAGAAGGAAACCTGCCTGCACCTGCACCCGCCTCACCCTCCGCCTGGTGGCGGCCGCTGGGTCCGTCCACCTCCTTGAGAGCCTTCCTCTTTGTCGCTGCCCCTCTAGTGACCCAGCATGATGTCCCTGTTCCAGGACTGGGCCTTCTTGAGGACATGTCCAAAGCCTCACCATCCTCTCTTCTGGGAGTATTCTGTCTGTACGTCTTCCAAAGCAGATGTGTCCCTCTGTCTGGTAGTCCGTGGTACATTCGATATGCTTCGCCAAGACCCTGATTTAAGTGCGCCGATTCCCCGTTGTTCTGATTCAATGTGCAGCATTTGCACGCATCTGAGGCCACGGAAAATAAGACCGGGCTTGACGCAGGCGCACCTTGACGCAGGCGCACCTTGACACAGGCGCACCTTCATCCTCAACATGACATATTTTATTTAACACTTTCCTGGGTCTCACACGGCAGATCTGCCCAGTGCCAGGCGTCCTTGGGTTGCTGGGCTCACGTTACCAACTGTGTCGAGCAGATCTTCATTTGCAGCACAATAAACACATCAGGACGCATTCTCAGGGATGCCAGAGTCCTGTTATCTCAGATGAGCTCTAGCAGAGGAATCTGGACTCGCTCGGAGGCTGAGCGCGGTTGTTGTCTGCACAGCTAACTCAGCACCCAGCGGGCGGCCGCCTGGCCCCCAGCTGTTCACGATTACCACGGCTCTTTAATCTTTGCAACCCAAACATCACACATGTGGGCCCACTCATCTGGAGTTTCAAAACCGCGTCAGAAAACCAGGCCAGAATGCAGTAAATACAGTAGCCAGTCTTTGGTTCGCATTGAAGAAGTCAGCCCAGCTAATGCGGCAAGACCATGTCGGAGAGACCAGGGCTGGTGGGGACAGGACTGCACAGGTCTCAAAGCAAAGGACTGGTTTGCCTGGGTCCTTCCTTTTCGCCTCAGGGAACTTCCAACTGGTGGACTTGCAAGTCTTGACATACATTCCTGGTGTTCTGTGAATTTCAAAAGAGTGTTTCACAATTCCTTGGCCCAGCTCAGCATCTCTGGAGTCAAGGCAATACTACCCAGGACCACCACTTCTGGAAGGTTTGGGGGGTGAGTTCTTCCCCGCCTTTTGTTCGTTTCCTCTCCTCCAGATTCGCACGCCTTGTCCGAGGACAAGGAGGACCACTTCTCTTGTTCTGTAACCCACCGACGGCCATGGATCCTTTCAACTCGTGGCAGCTCTGTAACAACTCATGGTAACCTCCACAGCACGGAGGAGAGACTGAGACTGTCCACCTTTACGGGAGCAGGCAGCCTCATCATTCTCCCAAAGAGCAGCTGGTGATTTTGAACCACCAACCTTGCGGTTAGCAGTCCAATGTCTAAACCACTGACTGTACCACTAGGACTCCTTCTGTGCTGTAAGCAGAAGAAAGTCCAGGGTCCAGCTACCCATGTGCCAGTGTCACCCTGCTGTCCCAAGCCCCCCTTCTTCTCTCTTCTTTGTGGATTCCTTCGGGATGGAGCCTCAGAGAGGGCCATCCGAATACCTGCCAGCCCGGAAGGCCACTGCCACCTGGGCTCCCAACATGCCCTTCACCAAGGAATCACATCTGGCTCACGATGGCCTTGTGTGCATGTCAGCATACAACTTCTCCATGGGGGGGGGGGATTCTTTATCCTTTTATTATTATTAATGTTAATGTTCTACTGGATTTGGGGGGTGAGAGCTGACACCGTAAATTAGGTTCCCATCTGATAGTTTCTTTCTAACATGTTGGTGCCCATGAGCTACGTGTGTCGGTACCCTCTTTGATTGCCCCCTGGTTGTTGCCTTCTCTGTTGCCACCAGTCTAGCTCCCCTGGCCCTTCTTCATCACGTGTTTCCCAGACACCTGCTCCTTGGGAAGTAGATCACCATGCCTCTCTTCTGAGGCACTTGTAGGTGGATCTGAGCCCCCAACCTTTTGATTCACTTAGTCATTTGCCCCACCCCCGACTCCTGTGGGGCTCAGAGGGCCTCCTGGTGAGACTGGTGTCTAGAAGTTTCCGTGCTCCCTAGGAAGGATTCTGTAGTCTCTCTCATGGTCTGGTGCGTTTCACCGCGGCTCTGAAGCAAATGATCCCGACCAGTGAGGATGTCTGATCGGCTTTACAACTGGGCAGTCTGGGGCCACTTTCTCCGGGATGAATATTCCAAATTCCTTCTGCCACGGACATGCATCTCCATGGGGGTTAGGTCAGCAGGTGGCCCTGGAGGGAAGGCTCCTGGGCCCAGGTCCCCGAGCAGTAAAGCAGGGCTCGGAGCGTGTTTACAATGTTGGTCCTCCTTGAGCCCCGGGGTGGTTTGTTGCAGAAACTGGAAAATAAGCTCTGCTTTGCAAGTGGCCTTGGTTCCACGGACTCAGCAGGCCCCTGCTGTGACCAATCCTGAGCCACCCGAGACGAGGAATGGGCCGGTCTTTGCACCCCGCTGATTGGCTGCGAGCGGTGGGCGGAGCAGCCAGCTCCATCCTGGACTCCCATAGGTGCGCTGAAGTCAAAGGTGGGCCCCTAGCAAGTGTTTGTTCTGGGACAAAAAGGAATGTCTTCGGAGCGTTTTGTGCTCCGGGGAGGCTGTAAGTGTGAAGCCCATTTGAAGGAGGGAGGCGGCAGGCCCTGGGAGGAGGCAGCGGACTTACCTCACATCCACTTGTGCCTCTGGCGAGCTCAGGGGCCTGCCTGGAGGGAGGGGGTGTCCCCGAGCACAGGTAGGAGCCACAGCTGGCCCTCCCCCAAAGGAGACCTCCGGAGGGAGGCGCCATGGTGGAGAGGCTGTGAAGGTCACAGCGGCGGCCCAGGGGTCCTGCTACCTGGTGGGGCGGACCTTGGCGGATGTCTTCCATGAAGATGGTCAACTGCTAGGCGAGCCCAGGGGGTCCGCGCTGTGCCCCCACTGGTTGTCCTGTCCCAGTGCCTTTCTGCTGCCATCAGAGCACGCTTGCCAACCCCGTCTAAGCAGAAGACCAAGGTCGGACGCAGCCCGCTGGGGTCCCGGGGGGTGTACCTGTCTCCTGCCGGCCCCCCAGGCAGAAGAGAAGCCGTCTCAGGAGAAGCTCACCCAGGAAGTTTCAGACATCTTTCTGGACAGGGAGCTCCCCAAGGGTCCCCAAGGAGACGAGGGCGGGTCCACCATGGGCCTGCTGAGGGGTCTGCTCGGAGCCCGCAACCTGCTGCTGGTTATCCTGGTCCCGCTGCTGCTGCTGCCGCTGCCCACCCTGCACCCCAGCAGTGTAAGTACATGCCCCAGCCCAGCCGCACGACAGCGCCCTTATCTGTGTGATGAGGCAGGAGAAGGTTCAGAGATCATCTTCCTAAAACCTGCCCGCCCTCCATCCCCTGGGGCCCTCTGCCAGGTCAGTGTCGCAGCCTTGGCCCCAGTACTGGCCCATGGGCCGGCCTGCCCTGGCCCTGGGAGGGTCCTCTGCTGAGCAGGAGCCAACAGGGGAGTCAGGAAGACCCCCAGGGATGTCCCGAAGGAGGGCCCTGGGGCACCTGAGTCTGGGGTCGGCTGTGGGGCACTGGTGATGGCTTGTGCAGCGCCTTCTTGCTGCACATGCTCAGTGGGAAGCAGAGCTGGCTTGGCCATCCTTAGGCTATCTGCGTCCTCTTCCAGAGAGACCGAAAGGGGGACATTCAAGACTAAGGATGAGGCCCACCCTCCAGGCTGTAGTCCAGTCCTCCTCCGAGGCTGGCTTTCCTTCCCTCCCTCCCATTCACTGTCCCCTGCCCTGGCCGGCCAGCCCTGAGGTTTTTGGAAAAGTCAACTAACATTGAGTTGATTGTAGGAACACATGGTAACCATGGTGAGATGAAAATGCTTTGAGGACGGGGGTCTGAGTGGTTCCGTTTAAAAGCAAACTGGCTTACATCTTTAGCAGAAACATACACATCCACCCTCAGCGTGCTGGGGAGATGCTGATGAAAACTGGACTTGTGTTAGCAGGCAGTGAAGGATGCTCTCAGTCCACTGGTTTCTCTTGGGTCTGTCTCTGGCTTCACTCAAATAGCCCGGAGCACTGGTCATCCGTCGCCTGTGTCTACCCAGTGGCTGACGGCAGAGACCAAGCACAAGTGGCAGGGCCACCACAGTATCCAGAGCCCCTGCCTCCCCAAGTCAGCCCTGTCTTCGGGGGCCCTGACACTGGGGTCCAGCGTTGCCCCACCTCTTGCTCAGTGAGTGTCTCAGCTTCTGAGAAGACTCCACTCAGCTACAGAGAGAAAAAATGGATATGAGTTAAACCAGCTGTTCCCTTGAGGGAGAGGGGCATTGTGGGAGGGAAGGAGGGAGGAGAAGGCAAGTGGGTGAGCCTCTCTCTGAGTAGCTTGATAAGTAATATTTGTGATATTGATAAGTAACCTGGTAATTTGTGGTGTCTCTACTTCCTCAGGCCAAGGGGCAATGGCATTTCTTAATGTTGCCACGTCTCTCAACCTGAGGGCCCCAGGGGACACTGTTGGCATGCAGGGCAGGGCCAGGGAATTGTGGGCAGTGAGGGCTCTCTGGGGGCAGCAGCTCGCCCAGGTCTGAGCCACACAGCCTGGGTCACTCCTTTCAGCGTCCCCTCCCTCTGCTTCTTGCCTCCTTCCCAGAGGATCAGGAGGCCATGTCCACGAATGGCCTCCTTTCTGCAAAGGAGCCATTGCACGGCTACCCCTGTTGCTTCTGCTGCCTTCCCAGCTCCCAGGCCAGCTTTAGCTCCCGCAGCCCATGGGGCCACGGCAACTCCCAGTGGGAGCTCCAGGAAACAACCCGGCCAGTTCCACAGAGTCCACGGGTGGCAGGAGGGGACACAGCCCCCGTCCAGCCAGCTCAGCCCCTCCCCGAGACTCCTCCCTGGGCACGGTGACCTTTTGTAATGTTGGCTCAAGACCTGGGAGGCTGCATGTTCTGAGCGCCACGGGGGCTGTGGTTAGCGGCCAGCGGCCAGCCTCCAGGCAGGCCAGACCCTCGGCCTGAGGTTTCAGAGCCAAGTGGAAAGGGAGGAGCTCGGATGCTTGTGGAAGAGTGAGCCGTGAGCCGGCTCGTCAAAGAAGGAGCCCTGGTGACGCAGAGGCTAAGCGCTGGGCAGCTGGTAGCCGCTGGCAGCGCCCGGAAAAAAAGCCGTGGCCATCTTCGCCCTGGGCTTCAGTTTT